CATTCGCTGGTAAACCATTAATGTATAGCTCCAGAGGATTCAACGGCACCGACTCTGAATAAGCAGAATTGTCACACAAGAATAGATTTCTCAAGTTGCATTAGTGAAAGTTCTTTAAATGAAACAAAAACTGTACTACAAAGTGCATTTTATGTGAAAATCGAGGTTTCGCCGTACCCATGGCGCGCACCCATGTACAAAATGATTTTGTTGCCTAGCATGCCACCAGCATGAAGACGAACAAGTAAAGAGCAAGCGTATTGGGTGATGACCGCTTGCCTTTGGGATACTGCGAGTGTATCATTCCACTTCGCCTGATCCCCATCTTGTGATTTTTTTATCCGATATAATGTGATAAACACTGATTGTATTGACAATTTAGGCTCACGGAACGTTATCCAAAGCAAAGGTCGGTGGTAGAAATGTGATAGTCGACTTCTGCGGATCAAAGTCATCGAAATCCCCAGCTACCCCAAAAGGTTGGTTGATCTGACAGTTTGTATAGGAATTTTGTAAACATTTGTGGTATTGCGCTGGGGAGAGAATGCGAACAGCAAAGTATGGTCTAATCTTGGAAGTCGACACATATTATAATGATTTGCTCGATTAAACGTCTAATTTTTTGTTTTCTCAGTTCTGCTGGGTCAATAATGGAAAGGTGGAGGCGTATAGGTTCATGAAAATCTAGAAATCGAAGCATGAAGCAGGGGGCGCGTCGCGATTTCGAATGCTCTTTTTAAGTCAACGCAAACTGACTCAGATGCTCAGGGTAACGCCTATGATTTGTAGGTGATTTAGCGGGATTCTGGTTGAACTGCCAGTGAGGATTAATGTCTCCAAACATTAAAAAATCACAAGATGGGGATCAGGCGAAGTGGAATGATACACTCGCAGTATCCCAAAGGCAAGCGGTCATCACCCAATACGCTTGCTCTTTACTTGTTCGTCTTCATGCTGGTGGCATGCTAGGCAACAAAATCATTTTGTACATGGGTGCGCGCCGTGGGTACGACGAGACCTCGATTTTCACATAAAATGCACTTTGTAGTACAGTTTTTGTTTCATTTAAAGAACTTTCACTAATGCAACTTGAGAAATCTATTCTTGTGTGACAATTCTGCTTATTCAGAGTCAGTGCCGTTGAATCCTCTGGAGCTATACATTAACGGTTTACCAGCGAATGTCACCAAGGAAGATATCAGGAATGTCTTCCGAGCTGCTGTCTCCATAAACATTCCCAAAGGCCGACCTCACGATTTAAGGTGACATTTTGAGCAATATCTCAATTGTACGAGAAGAACCTTATCCAGCCTCAGTGCTTGACAGAATGTAAATAAAATTTTGCAGGCGTGCATTTATATTGTTCTCTACTGAGGAGGATGCCAAGTTGGCTTTTGACAAGAGTAAAGGTCTGAAACTCGCTGGACGGTCTGTTGAAGTGTTTTTTGCCCGAATGCGCAAAGAAGTTCTACCTAATGCAACGGTAAAACCTTCAAAGGTACATCCACTTTCTTCAAATTCGTGCACTTGGTTTTATAGTGGAAAAGAGCCATCTTAGGGTGCAACTTCGCAAAATGCGAGTGCAGCTTCGGTAAAGAAGCCAACAGCGGTGCCCAAAGTAGACGAGAGTGATGACAGTGACGAAGAGGAGGTGGAATCAAGTGATGAAGGAATAGAAGAAGTTGTTGGATCCTCCAGCGAAGAAGGCCACGCCTGGAAAGGTCTGTTTGCCTCCGGTCTGTAAGAAGGCATTGATTTTCGTAGATGCGCAATGCGTGCTGCACTTACCGGGTTTAATGTCGGAATTTCCCGCAAGACGTCCTTCTCTTTTCTTTTATCCAATGCCTTTTCGGTCATTTCACCTATCTCGAAAAGCTTTTTCTCAAACGTTTTTCCTATCATGCTTAAAAAGTCTCATTACCTGCCTGGGTTTCAAAGGCACATTCCATGATCTGTTACGTCCGCTCAGAAATCAATGCGACAGTGCAAAGTGCATCATTATTTAACTAGCAAGTGAGAAGATGAACGGAATGCACTGGCGGTAGAAGGCCTCTATTTTGTGCTGTGGACTTTCACAAACTGTGTAAGTGATACCGTGGCTGAGACGGTGGAAAAGACTCTGAGACGGGGAGCATAATAGAAATGCGACGTGAA